CCCCTGTAAGAGCTTTATAATTACAAAATTCCAAGGGGCCTCTTCAGAGTTTTTGCCTGACATATCTTTATGAACCTACTCTGAGTGTTTGTCTGTCCCTTGGAGAGCCAGGCCCAAGGATACCAATGGCTAGAACCAATAGAAAAGCACAGATGCTGGCAGGAGGCCAAAGGAGGAACAGCACCCTCCAGCATTTTAAGGCAGAGCAGCACAGTGGCTCAGAACAACAGCATGTGCTGGGTGACCTTTGGCAAGTTGATTCACCTCTCTAAACCTCAGCCTGTTGAGCTGCTAAATGGGGTTGTTGTGACTGTTGGATGAGGCGAGGCCTGTGAAGTGGCTGGCATGCAGCAGGTGCTAATAAGTGTTGCAAAGGTGATGTGCAGGCAGCTTCCCATGGCCAACGAGAAACATTGCAGAGAAGAAATAAGTAGGGCTTAGTGACTCTGACGGGTCAATAGAGGAATGACCCAAAGAAGACTTCAAGGCCAGGCCTGCAGTTCTCACAAGGGCCCTCACCGATAGCACCCACTCCCCCACACTCAGCTTTACGGCCTAGGTCTGGTGACCCAGCTAGAAGCCACAGGACCCTGAGGCGTCCGAGGGTGGGAAGGCTGAGAGGCAGCTGAGGCTCCTGGAGGCTGTGACTGGGAAGCCCTCTCTTTAGAAAGGCCATCAGCTTCCTGCATGGGGGTGACTGGCTCCTCCCATGAGACAGTAGACAGGTCTGACTGTGGCCCTCTCTTACAGACCCCATGATGGAGCTGACAGGCACTGACCCTTCTGAGCTCGACGGCCAGCAGGAGATGGAAGACTTTGAGGAAAACGCCTACAGCTATGCGAGCGTGGACAGCAGCGCCGAGGCCAGTGTCCTCACTGAACAGGCCATGAAAGAGATGGCCTACTATAATGTGCTATAGCACAAGCTGGGCCACCCCCAACGGGGACCAGGGGGGCCAGGGAATGGGGGTGAGACCCATGGGCTGCAGGCTGCACCTCCTGCAGCCAAGAAACAAGCTACTGCCCCACTGTTCTGAGCCCTCCCTCCCCAAGTCATTTGCACCACTAGGGACCTTTAGACCAAATGGAGACTGTACTACTGGCCCCGGCTGTGAGCCAGCACAGGCCCAGGCATCCCAGCAAGGGAAGGAGAACACGAGGCCCAGATCTGAGTCTCCCTGGCCTGCTTCCATGGGGGTGGGAGAAGTGGGGCCACTGGGGACAGGTCACAAGGGCACAGGCCCTCAGGGTCTCTCCAGGCCCAGCAGAGCTCTTCAGGGGTCCTGACACTGGAAGAAGAGACCACTTGAGCCATGTCTTTGTCACGGCCAACTCCTGCCTCTAAAGATGTCTGAGCTCCCTTCTGGCCAGTACTGCCCACCCCTCCCTTGTCCAGGCCCCCTTCCCTGCCCTGTCGACGGACTGCCAGGCAGGGCACTCTGCCTTCTACCTCCCGGGGTCTCCCACGTGCTCTTCAAGCCAGGCATGCACGTGGCCCTGGCCCTGGCCTGCAGGACAGCTGGGGGGAGCCCAGCCCCCAGAAGACCCCTGTCCTACATCCCTTCCTGGAAGTGGGTGTCCCTAAAGTGGATTGCAACACGTCATCCACTTCGGCCCTAGCTGGAACGCCTCACCAGGGGGCCCCCACCAGGAACAAAGCCAGGACAGGCCCTGCGTCGGGCACACACTAACAAAAACCAGAAGCATGGGGCAGAGCAGGGCGGAATGAGGGCACCACGGGGGACCAAGAAGGGTTGTCCTTGGGGAAGGGCCAGGACCACCTGCGGGGGAGGGGGACCGCAGTCATTTCTTATTCCTCAGTGTCCACCTTGCGACGGGGATAACCACAAGTCAGCAGCTCCCCGGAAAGAGCAACGTATTTAAAAAAGGAAAGTGAAGCCCACAGAGGGAAATCAAGGGTTTTTTTGAGCAAAGGGGGTCTTCTGAAGGTAACTTATTTTTTTCTTTCCAACTGTGTGTCACCTATGACCTTTTCTGATGGAGATGCATTTTCTTTTTCCAAGCATAAGCTTCCTCGTGTGCTGTGCGTGCTTCCTTCCTACCCACCCGCCCCGAGCAGCCTGGCCGGGCAGGACCGGGGCTCCATGGGGACTGTCACACTGGCCCTGGAGGTGCAGCCGCTGGCAGCAGCCTCAGCAGGCTGGGGTGGGAGGCAGGAGAAAGCAGAGCTGGAAAGCCCTCCACCCCTGCCTGGCTCCTGCAGTTGCTGATTTGTTCCATCCCATGTCCCATCCTCGGCTGTCAGGGCTGCTGACTCTGCTCAGCCAAGAGCTAGCTCTCTCGCTCGCCTGCTCTCTTCCCCTCTGTTCCCACGCCAGCTCCTGCCCCTGGAACCAGAGATGACAGGCCCAGGGCAGTGAAATATCACATTCAGGAACTCTAGGGCACCCGGACCCCCACCCACTTGCCTCCTGAGGCCTCAGTGGGGAGTGGCAAGCAGGAGTCGTCCCCAAAGGCACAGATGAAGCCACTAACTTCAGCCTAGAAACACGGAGAGGGGAACAGCCTCGGGTGGGAGGAACCAATCTGCAGCGCAGCCACCCCCAAGGCTGGATCCTTAAGTGAAGGACCAAGCCAGGCCTCAGGGTGACTGTGATCAGGACTGAGGATGGACAAGGTGGCCCAAGTGTGGCTCCCAGACCCCAAGGCCCCACAACCTCCCAGGTGCCCGCCATGATGACCCTCAGGTGGCAGTGACCCCGTCACTGCACAAGACATTTTCTCCTGCTGAGCAGAAGGCATCATCCCCTGCAACTACCTCTTCCTACAACGTCTTTCTCCCCTGGTACCAAAAAGAACCCTGTACCTCCTCCTCCTCCTCCTCCCACCTGCCAGTGCAGTGGCCTTGGTCTTGGAAACCGAAGGGAGAAGGTCTGGCCCCCGGGGTGGGGCTCTCCTTTCCCTCCCCCAGCCCCACTGTCAGCACTGGCCCTCTGTGAGGTTCGATACTTGAACGCCCCCTGCCCTGTGCCTTGGACCTGGGCAAAGCTAGGAGGAGGAAACAGCACAACTCACAGTTTGAGCTGGGGGGTGGTCTCGGCAAGGCTCCTGTCTGCACCCCTCCCTACACTTCTCAAAAGAGGTGCATAGCCTCTCGGGTGACTTGGAAACTCCTGGACAAATTCCATTCTAACTTATTTTGACATGTATACAAACCAACTGTTTAGAGATTCCACTTGTGCAAAGCCCTACTGTGTTTTTATGTTCCTGTTTAAAAGAGAAGTTTACTTAGCAATAATTATAAATAAATGAATATTCTTTAGTGAGGTGACTGCAAATGCTTCTTTCCCCAGCTCTTGGGGACCTGGCCCTCACCCCTAGTAGGAACTCTCAGCAAAACTTCCCAGCCCCACACAGCAGGGCTGCGCTCTCCAGGGGCGGCCCAGGGGAGGCTGAGACCATCCTCTGCACTGGAATGGCCACCTGCAGGGCCAGGCGCCTACAGCCACTGCCCCAGGCCCAAAAGAGTCAAGCCCTGCATTCCCAGCACTTGTAGAGAAAAGCTGCTTCCCCTCCCTACCCACCCACATGGCTTCAGGAAAGAAGCCAGCTCCCGATGCCAGGCTGGGCTTCGGAGGCTGCATTCAGCAGAGCTGCCAGCCCTGTGCTGATGACAGGTAAGAAGAGGCAGGAAACCTTGAGCTTCTTCCCAGGGGCTGGGCCTGCTGGAGCCAGCAGTCCACATTTCTTCTTACAGCCCTGAGAGTTTCAGGGCATTACTCAGGAAGAGGAAGCGGGGGGTCACCAGTGTGGGTGGAGGGCTAGAGCCCTTCCAAGGCCACTCGGTCTACAGCAATGGTCAGGTTTTAGGAGCCATAGGAGTCCCCCTAGTATTTAGGAAAGGGACTTTGTAAGATGGGATTTTGAGAGATGGGGTCTCACTCTACTCAGGTGCAATCATAGCTCACTACAGCCTCAAACTCCCGGCCTCCCAAAGTGCTGGGACTGTAGGCATGAGCCACCACACCTGGCCAGGACTTTATAAAGATTATACAACTCTTCTCCAGGACATTTTAACAGCAAAAAGTAGAAGCTTTGCAGAACTTACTATGCAGCAGACAGTCCTTTTGATTATATGTAGCTTTAGAGCAACTTTTATTTTTCCTTTTTACATGGGGCTAAAGAACTTGCATAGAGCAATTTTTGTTTGTTTTTGAGACAGTCTTGCTCTGTCACCCAGGCTGGAGTGCAGTGGTGCAATCTCGACTCACTGCAACTTCTGCCTCCCAGGTTCAAGCCATTTTCCTGCCTCAGCCTCCCGAGTAGCTGGGACTACAGGTGCGCATCACCATGCCCAGCTAATTTTTGTATTTTGAGTAGAGATGGGGTTTCACCACGTTGGCCAGGCTGGTCTCGAACTCCTGGCCTCAAGTGATCCACTCACCTCAGTCTCCCAAAGTACTGGGATTATAGGCGTGCACCACTATGCCTGGCTGAGAGCAATTTTTCACAAGCTTACTTTTCTAGTTTTGCCAATGCATGGTGAAGTGAACCCAAGCCTGGGAACCGCTGGCCTAGACAATACGGGGCCCTCGTTCACCCACACCCAAGCCCCGCCAAACTCAGTCAGCCTTGGAAAGGAGACGTGTGAGGCAGGTGTGGGTAGGACCTGTTTTTAGTACCTAGAGAAAGGCTAAGAAAGTGGTCTGGAGATGTTTAGAAGGTTAAAACCAACGAAGAAAACAATCAATGACAACCTATCAGGGACTGATTGACTCTCAGAATGCAGAACTGGACACAGAAACTGGATCATGCTAGAAATTTCCAGGGAACCCACAGGCCTGTGCCCTGAGTGTCCGAGAGCTCCGCAGGGGGCCCCTGTGGAATGCGGGATCCCAGGGCTGCCTGGTCCCCTCCCCGCGGTGGCAGCCCCTTCCTGAGGTGCTCTGGTCTGCCCCAGGGGAACCTGCCAGCTCTAGCAGGGCCTCTGCCTCAGGGTCCCACTACCTCCTCCCCTCAGGGACAAACACAGCAGACAGTTTTGTGAAGAGCTTTTTAGTAGCTAAATATGGCACCATGTGTTCCAAGGGCAATATAAATTACAGTATGCAAAACATACTGACTGGCTGAGGTAAAACACACTGCTCCTGCCTCACGTCACCAGGAGGGGAAACACACATATGCTTTTAAAAACATCTCGCTTACAAAAAAATCCCCTAGAAAGGCCTCCAGAGAGGGGCTGTGAGGCTCACCCTCTGCCGTGCTCAGGAGGACCCGCCGGCTCGGCCCTGGCCCACTGCAGCCATGGGTGGCGCCTCCCTCTACTGCCTGCCCAGGGCTCTGTCCAGGTTGCTCTTGATGGTGTCGAGGAAGTCCGTGGTGTTCAGGAAGTGCTCGTTCAGCTTCACACTGCAGAGAGAGCACCACTCACATCAGGGGCGGCTCCAGGCCCTTCCAGGGAACAGCCTGAGCTTGGGCATCAGAACAGCCATCTCCTGCCACCCAGGCTATAGGCCAGAAGCCAGCTATAGGCCACTGCCATGAGGCCACAGCGATTTGGCAGGCACCAGTAGGGTCTGTCTTTCCAGGTAACTGCTCTCCTGAGAGAAGCTGGGAGAGGGGCGTGGGCAGGGTCAGAAGGAGCTCTGAGCAGCCAGCCTCAGGGATGGGGAGGAACTCACTAGGCCTGGTCTGCAGAGGCTGGCCTGAGCAATCTCTTGAGGCTATGGATATGTCCTGCCCCAGGCCCCCTGGCAGCTAAGCTGACTCATGAGGGGAACTTTAGGAAGGGTTCCCTGGCTTCCTCCCACCTGGCCCCAGGGTCTGCCCACCACCCCAGGCCACGCACTTGCTGAGGCCATGAATGCAGCCCGCCAGGTCCTTGGTCATGGCTCCGCTCTCCACCGTCTCCACGCACACCTTCTCCAGCGTCTGGGCAAACCTACGGGGGATGGGGCAGAATGAGACCCCATCTGTGCAAGGGCAGGACCCAGAGCCTGTCCTGAGCAGCTCCGGCCTTTCCCTCCATGCTCACCTGATGAGGTCCTGGTTCCCATCCAGTTTCCCTCGGTGCTCCAGGCCACGTGTCCAGGCAAAGATGCTGGCGATGGGGTTGGTGCTGGTGGGCCGGCCCTGGGGACGGGGGTCGCAGGGGGATCAAGAGCTGAGCCAGCTAGCGAGGAGGCTGCCCAGATACAGCTGCCCACCCCTGGGGACTGGCGGGTCAGGCTCATCCTTCCAGCCCTTAGCCCAGTAGGCTAGAGGTAGAGGGGCATTGTGAGGCCCCATGCCCTGCACTCACCTTCTGGTGCTCCCGATAGTGGCGGGTGACGGTCCCATGAGCAGCCTCAGCCTCAATCGTCTTCCCATCAGGGCAGACCAGGACAGACGTCATCAGGCCAAGAGAGCCAAAGCCTGGAGGGTAGAAAGCCTTTCTCTCAGGGCCTCGCCTCTCCTGGGGCCACCCAGCTGAGCCCTGCTGCCCTCTATAACCCAATATTGTAGCTGTCACAGTTTGTGGCTCTACTCAGCCTCCCCCAACTGCAACTGGGAGGACAGGGACTGTTCCAGGCCTCTCCACCCTGCTGTGGGTCTCCAGGGCCCAGCACAGGGCTGGAGGGCACTAGAGGGTGGCTATCAGCAGCACATTAACATCCATCTGTGTCACCAGCTCCAGGCACCCCACAGCCTGTGGCCCATAGGGCCCAAGACCCCACAGAGTCCTGTGGTCCCCCACAGCCTGCCATCCAGCCTGGCTCGTGACCTGGAGGCACATTCAAGCAAAACAATAAAGCTGTGGTCAGCTATTTTCCGACAATCACTTTTGCAGCTGCTCTCTTAGGCCACTTTCAAGCTTTTTGATTAATTTCCGAATGTTCCCAAATCCACATGTCAACTCCAGCAAACTTTTCTATTGTCAAGGGCTCCAGGGCTTCAAAGGCACCCCCATGACACCAAAATAAGGATTGAAGAAAGAAAACATGGACAACATCTACAGGAAAATGCTTTGTCTATGAATTCTAAGAATTTTGGCTGTGAGCAATCCCTTCTCCATTTTACCTGCACCTTCACACCATTCCTTAGACACTTAAGGTTAATTTTCACGCCTCTGCCTCATCTGCCACGGCGTTTCATCCTTCTATCCTACATGGGAATTGTTCTGGTGAGAGGATCCCCACTGAACTTTCCAAAGTAAAGCCAAAGGTTTACACAAAGTAACAAGACTCTGCTTTTCATCAGAACCGGTCCCGGGCTTCCCTTTTCCCCTTACCAGGAGCTGCCCTGGCAAACTTAGGTTTCTCTTTCACTCTCTATGTCCTGCCTGTTTCCCATGCCTACCACCTTTCCTGCTCTTGTTCCCAACACAATTGGCCCATTTCTCGCTGTTCTTCTCTAACGGTCTCACCTATTTTGTTTTTTTTGAAGACGGAGTTTCACCCTTGTTGCCCAGGCTGGAGTGCAATGGCGCAATCTCAGCTCACTGCAACCTCTGCCTCTGGGGTTCAAGAGATTCTCCTGCCTCAGCCTCTCAAGTAGCTGGGATTACAGGTGCCTGCCACCACGCCCGCCTCCACGCCCGGCTGACTTTTTTGCATTTTTAGTAGAGACGGGGTTTCGCCATGTTGGCCATGCTGGTCTCAAACTCCTGACCTCATCACCTATACTTTTTACTGCAATCTGATTTGTCTTTTAGGACACCCTAGGGCCTGGGGGTTTGTAGGCTTCCCCGACATTCTCTTCCATCCATTAGGTTCACTATGCAAAAAATATTCGCTGTAGTTTAAAGAACCTCCAGTCCTGCTTGATCCCATTTTCCTACTGGAATCAGAGTCATGAGGCTCCATCATGGACTGGAGCAACCTAGGGCTGACAACCTAGCCCTGGAATTCCTGTGCCCTCCTTTCTCTCTAAGAGCAGCCTCAGTAATACACCAGTCCAAACCTAATTTGTGATCCTCTCTCACTCAGATGCCAGGGAGCTCTGGCCCCCTGCTGTCCACAGAGGACCCTGCAATGAGTCCTGCTGCTCCACCAGAGTTTTCTACCAAAAGGGTCTGAAAACCCCTCCAGCCAGAGACGACCAATAGTCCACCCCCACAGGGAGCAGCATCCTCCCAGCATACCCTGGGCCAGGATGTCTGACTGCACATCTCCGTCATAGTTCTTGCAGGCCCACACAAAGCCGCCCGAAGACTTGAGGACCTGAGCCACCATGTCATCAATGAGCCGGTGCTCATACCAGATCTTATTCTTGTCGAAGTCGGTCTTATAGTGCCTGGGAGTAAAAAGGTCTGTTATGGGGAGAGGGCAGAAGGCTGACAGGCTGGGGATCCCTCCCTGAGCCTCGGAGCTGAGCCAAATGCATTCTAATAGTGACCTCCCCAGGGTATAGGATGGGAACAGCATGGGGGGAAGGGAAGAAAGGCCACGGAGTACATGGATGAGGCTTTACTTGTCAAAGATCTCCTGGAAGATGTCCTTGAAACGCCCATCGTAGGCTTTCAGTATGGTGTTCTTGGTGCTCATGTACAGCGGCCATTTCTTCTGGATGGCATACTGGAAGCAGCTGTGCGCGAAACCCGAGATGGACTGCAGCGGGAGAGACAGGGCCCTGGCGTGGTGCCCTAGCCTGGAGATTGCCAGCAACCTCCCACCTCCCAGGAACGGTGCCCCGCGGCCCACACGACTGTTTAACACCAGCCTCCGTGCAGTGAACAGGATGTTTCTGCTGGCCCAGCCTCTCCCTCTCAACCTCCCAGGAGCAAGAGGCCCCTCAACTTTGCTTTGGAAAGCACCGCCTTTTCCCCAGTTCTTAGACTAGTGGCTGGGCAGGGCTAATTCCCAGGCCTGGCGCTGGGGTTGACAGTGTGTCCCTGGCTTATCCAATCAGAAGCCCTTCTCCCCCGGGCCTCTATGATTGGCTCAGAGGTGGTCATGTGACTCAACCTGGCATTTGAGCTGGAACTGAGGGTAAAGAGGCATTCTCTTCTGATAGGGTAGCCAAGCAGGCAGGAGTACGCCTGGAGCTGTTTGTGGCCACTTCTTTTCTTTTCTTTCTTCTTCTTTTTTTTTTTCCCAAGAGATGGGGTCTCACTGTTGCCCAGGTTGGTCTCAAGCTTCTGGCCTCAAGCAATCCTCCTGCCTCGGCCTCCCAAAGTGCTGGGATTACAAGTGTCAGCCACCATGCCCAGCCCTGGTGGCCATTTCTGCCTCTTTGTGGCCTAAGAATGAGGCCATCACAGAAGAAAGGAAAACCACGAGACAGAGATGAAGAGACAAGCTGGGAGAGGAGGGGCCCAGGATGCCGGAGCCAGCCTCACCTCATCGGTGTTGTACATGCCCATGCCCACACCGCCTGCGGGGAAGTTGTACACTTCCCACTCCTTGACACCGCTGCCATCTTTCGGGGTGAAGACCATTTTGAACGTGCCAGCCCGGTCTGCCACAAAGTCTGTGGCCTTGTACTGCAGAGACAAGAGAATGGCTAGGCCAGGAGCTCCAGTCGGGGGGTACCCAGGTCAGTGGATCCCCTCTCCCACCCTGGCCTACCTGGTCGCCATGGGCGTGCCTGCCAATGGTGATGGGCTTGGTCCAGCCAGGGACGAGGCGTGGGATGTTTTTGCAGATGATGGGCTCCCGGAAGACAGTCCCCCCCAGGATGTTCCGGATAGTTCCATTGGGACTTTTCCACATCTTCTTCAGCTTGAACTCTGTGAGGACAGAGATAAAGTGGTCCCACTGCAGCCACCACCTTTCAACCAGAATTTGAACCCCAAGCAACAACACAGCCAGACGGCGGTCCTAAAATTCTTCACGAGGGAGGCAGTGGAGTCTAGAGTGCAAATGTGTGGGCTCTGGAGTCTGCCAATTTTTTTTTTTTGAGACGGAGTTTTGCTCTTATTGCCCACGCTGGAGCGCAATGGCGCGATCTCGGCTCACCACAACCTTCGCCTCCCGGGTTCAAGCAGTTCTCCTGCCTCAGCCTCCCGAGTAGCTGGGATTATAGGCATGTGCCACCACACCCAACTAATTTTGTATTTTTAGTGGAGACGGGGTTTCTCCACGTTGGTCAGGCTGGTCTCGACCTCCCAACCTCAGGTGATCTGCCTGCCTCAGCCTCCCAAAGTGCTGGGATTACAGGCGTGAGCCAAGTCTGCCAATTTTAATGGTGAGGCTTACAAAAGTGACTCAACTGAAGCTGTAAAAGAAAATTACTGGAAAAATACCTAGCCTAAGTGTTGTTGTAAGGACTAAATGAGCTCGTGTGTAAAGGGCCTAGAACGGTGCCCGGTCCATGCTAAGTGCTCTGTTGGCCATTATGATTCCCACATCACACATGGAGGGAGTACAGTCCGGGAGAAGGGCTTGTCTGACGAAGCCTGACAACACACTGCCCACTCCACATGCTCCGGTCCTGGCCCCAACGCCGCCCCAGTTCCTAAGGCTGTGACCCTCTCCTGCCTTGTCCATAAATGGGGATACATAACTCCCAGGGTTCAGGTGAAATGAAGAGCTCAGCACTCAAATGATCCCAGTGCTGTGGGTCAGGCATGACCTGCAGGACAGGGGCAGGCCTGGGAAGTTTGCAGATGTACCTTGAGTGCTTCCCGCCCGCTCCCTCCGACTGTGGAAAGTAGGAAGAGAGAGCTCAGAAAACTCCTCAACCATCCTTTCTCAAATTATCCAAACCTGGCCTCTCTGCTCACACACTGCTGTCACTTCATGGAACCCTCGAGAGCAGCCCCAAAAGCCAAGGACCAGAAGCCAGTCCAGGCCTGGGGGTGGGGGCACTTCTCAGTGATCCTGCATGACCATGGGGACAGGGGCAGACCTGCAAGGCCAAGCCAGCAGCAGGAGGGCAATAGCGATGTTCCCCAGAGGCTGCTGAGGCTCTGAAGGACACAGGCCTTAAACACAGCACTCCTCTGCACAATCTCTCTGCAAACCTGCCTGCAAGATTGTCCACGCCAGAATGGACTGCTGCCCAAAGAAGCCATCATTACTGTGACCACATCAGCATTACCTTCCTCCTCCTCAGCCCTGTCACCAATGACACCTACCACTGTCAGAGCCAGAGTGCAGCAGAAACACCACTGTCCTGGGAGATGGAAGATGTGGATTCTGTCCTCAGCTCTGCTGTGCCCTAACCGTGGAACCTGAGGCCAGCCCCTTTCCCATGCCTACCCCAGCCTCATCAACAGTGACCTCTGAGGCCCCACTGTCCACCAGGCACACACAGGGAGACTAGCCTCAGGTGCAGTTGGCCTCAGGAAAGCCCCAGCTCCGGAGCCTCCCAACCTCCCAGTCCTGAGATGAGTGACATGGCTAACTGCCCCACCCCAAGTCTGGAGAGGCAGGTGGGAGAAGCCTGTGACCCTCCCTGGCCCGCCCACCTCCACACCCTCGCACCTTCCACACGGGCCTCATCAGGGGTGATGGTGGCACACTTGACAGCCACACTGTACTTCTGGGTGGCCAATGCAGAGTCAATGGTGACCTGGTCATCGGTCTGGTCACGGTTTGGGAGCCCGAGGTCAAAATACTTTAGCTGGATGTCCACGTGGGGCAGGATGAGCTGGGGACAGAGGGCCAGAGCAAGGCGTCACCCCAGCGATTCAGGGACACGACAACAAAGGGCAGCATAGGAAGTCTGCAGGCCACAGCAGGAGACAGTCAGAACAGGGATGAGTGGAGGGGCGCAGCAGAAAGCTGGAGCCAGCCATTTCTCAGTGGGGCCTGGCCAGAGCTGGCAGAGGCTGGGGCTCTGGAGAGAGGTTGGCAGGCCAGGCTGCAGCCTTTTGGAGGGTTCTTCCCCCATTGTGCCTATCTGCCCGCCCGCCTCACACAGCCCACCGACTCAGCCAAACCCCAACCCCAAGTACATCTAGATTTCTCCATACAACTGGTCTCCTCCTCTCCTCAAGTGCTTTGAGATCTGACAATCGGAAGTGGCAGTTCTCAACCTGTGTCCCATGAACGCACACACAGTGTGGCGCCTTCACAAGGACTGCATGCTCTCCTGGACATACACAGACCACGGCAACTTTGGAGACGCCAAGTAGCCACACTGGGACCCCTTTGCCAGGGCAGCTCACCACAGCTGCAGGCCGGGGCACTGCCCTGCACACCAGCCCTGTTCCCCTTTCACTCCTTTTCAAGAAGTGAGGTAAAGTGCAGGGGATCAAGACGGAAATGATACAGGATTAACCTTGAAGCTGCTCAAAGTTGACACAACGTGTGGGATTTGGCACCAGCACAACACAGACTGCTGGCGACAGGCCCCCGCCTGACGACTTCCGAACGATTAGCGGACCAGATGTGAAAGAAGGGTAGACAGACGGGGAGAAACTGCTGCTGCTGCCCAACCAGGACAACGGGGGAGTCCTAGGGACCTGCAGTCCAGAAGACCCTGTGGGACAGGACACCCCCTGGCCAGCCCACCTGGAGAGCCACCCACTTCGGGACGGGGCACTACCTTCTCCTTGATGAACTGCCAGATAATACGGGTCATCTCATCACCATCCATCTCCACCACAGGCTTTGCCACCTTGATCCTTTTGTCAGCATCTAGAAGCGGGGACACATAGTGCGTCATGCCCCTGGGGAGGCTGGAGTGGGGCGCCCTCTCCTCCCGGCCAGGCCCGCCCTTCACCAGGAGACGGTGGCAGAAAGCCAGGGCTCCAATTGCCCAGCGTCCACTCCCCCGTCTGCAAATCAGCTCCCTGACTGCTTAGAGCAGGGGCCCCCAACTCCCAGGTCATGGACTAGTACCGTGGGCTCTGGAGAGAGGTCAGCAGACCAGGCCACAGCCTTTAATGCAGGTACATGGACTGTTAGGAACTGGGCCACACAGCAGGAGAGCAGCAGGCGAGTGAGCACTACCACCTGAGCTCATGCCTGGGAACTGCGCACGCAAGGGATCTAGGTTGCGTGCTCCTTATGAGAATCTAATGCGTGATGATGTCACTGTCTCCCAGCACCTCCAGATGGGACTGTCTAGTTGCAGGAAAACAAACTCAGGGCTCCCCCCGATTGTACATTATGGTGAGCTGTGTAATTTTTTCATTATATATTACAATGTAATAATAATAGAAATAAAGTGCACAATAAACGTAATGCACCTGAATCATCCCAAAACCATCCCCGCTGCCCACCACTCTGCCACCCATGGAAAAATTGTCTTCCATGAAACTGGCCCCTGGTGCCAAAAAGTTTGGTAACTGCTGGTTTAGAGCACCTGGATCCATCCTCACTTACTTCCTTTCCTTTCTTTCCTTCCTTCCTTTTCTTTCCTTCCTTCCTTCCTGTCCTTCAGTCCTCCCTTTCTTTCTCCCTCTCTCTCTCTCTCTCTCTCTCTCTCTCTCGGCAGGGTCCTGTTCTGTTGATCAGGCTGGAATGCACTGATGCCATCATAGCTTACTGCAGCAGCGACCTCCTGGCCTCAAGTGATGCTCCGACCACAGCCTCCCACGTAGCTGGGACTACAGGCGCATGCCACCACACCCAGCTATTTTTTGCACCTCAGCCTCCCTAGTAGCTGGGGCTACACGCCCATGCCTAGATATTTCTTTTGTCCAAGACTTAGTTCTTTACAGTTTTCCCTGCAATTCTATGAGCTACCCTGTGTAGCTCATAATAAAATCCTCTCCAAGTTAACCAGTCACTTTGTCTGTTGCTTGTAACCCAAGAGCCCTTAACTAACTTGTAGTGATAAAGGAAATGGTATATAGATAGGTATTGAGTGCCTACTATGTGCCTTACAGGGTACCAATGCCATATAATGTGATTCCATTTAATCCCAAAAATAACCCCAAGGAGGTATCATTACCTCCATTTTATTTATTTATTTATTTTTATTTTTATTTTTTGTGACAGAGTCTTTGCTCTGTCGCCCAGGCTGGAATGCAATGGCGCGATCTCGGCTCACTGCAACCTCCGCCCGTCTCCCACGTTTAAGCGATTCTCCTGTCTCAGCTTCCCGAGTAGCTGGGATTACAGGCACATGCCAACAAGTCTGGCTAATTTTTGTATTTTTAGTAGAGACGGGGTTTTGCCATGTTGGCCAGGCTGGTCTGGAACTCTTAACCTCAGGTGATCCTCCTGCCTTGGCCTCCCAAAGTGCTGGGATTACAGGCATGAGCCACCACACCTTGCCGTTATCTCCATTTTAAATGTGGGAAACTGAGGCTCAGAGAGGTTAACAGCTTACTGCCCAAGGTTACAGAGCTTGAAAACAGCAGAGCCACGAGGACTCTGATCTTATTCAACAGGAAGGACAGGCTTACAGCACCTGCGAATGGAACTCTGAACCCTTGATCCCAGTCGACGCAGGTCAGTCAGTCCTACCAGAGAAGCATCAAAGGACTCAATGAGGGGCTGATCAGAGGTCCAAGGAGACAATGGAGGGTAGAGAGCAGGAGACGCTACTGAAGGAGAGTCTGACTTGCAGGAAAACCCAACAGTATGGTAAGTGCATTTCAAAGAAAGCTCAGGAACTAGCCACCTAACAATGAATCAGTACAGCTGCCTTGGTTTGTTGAACAGTACAAGGTTTGTTGAACCTCAGCCTGCAGCAGACAGGGACACCGGAGCACCAGCCTGCTCCTCTGCCCACAGCCTGGGAAGAAGCAGCAACTGCAGAGCAGGGAACAAGATCTACTAAAACTTCAGTCACAGGGAAATCTCACCAGCTCGGAACAGGATGGCTGAGAGCTGTGCCCTCCCCCCAAAGCAGCACTCCTCAGCCTCACTTACAACCTGCTTACTCTTGTGTTACACACAGTCCTTAGAAACGTAGTGATGTGTCTTCCAGCTCCACTCTAGATTAGACAGAGCAAATCAGATGAAGGGAAGAGAATGCTTATCTGAAAACACTGGGTTGGGGCTGGGTGCAATGGCTCACGCCTGTAATCCTAGCACTTTGGGAGGCTAAGGCAGGTGGATCACTGAAGGTAAGGAGTTCAAGACCAGCCTGGCCAACATGGTGAAACTCCATCTGTACTAAAAATACAAAAATTAGTCGGGCGTGGTGGCATGTGCCTGTAATCCCAGCTACCGGGGAGGCTGAGGCAGGAGAATCACTTGAACCTGGGAGGCGGAGGTTGCAGTGAGCCGAGATCACGCCACTGTACTCCAGCCTGGGCAACAGAGTGAGATTCCATCAAAAATAAAAGAAAAAAAAAGAAGAGGGGAGGGGAGGGGAGAGGAGAAGGGAAAGGAAAGGAAAGAAGTCGGAAGAACTGACAACTGCTAAGTTGACAAGGGACAGAATACCTGGAAAAGCAGGCCTAGAAACCAGCATGGCACATTTAAAACAAAAGTGACTAAAGCCTAACAGACCTCAAACAACTCACTTTTCAAAGACATGCAAAGAGGTGTTTTTTTTTTTTTTTAATCTAAAAATAATCTTAGAGATCATTTAGGGGGAATAATGAGACTCAGAGAGTGTGGTCTGCATCAGAGGCAAGACAGAACCCAGGTCCCTGACCCAAATGCAGTCTCTGGAAGACCTGTGGGTCAGATGTAGGGAAGCAGAACACAAACACAGCCTTGAACTGTTTCATTCCCTAGAGAACAAAAGCTGGCTGGCTGCTGCTGGCTCTGCCACCTTTCCCAAGATGCGATGGGGATTTTGAACCCAATCTACAAGACTCTTTCACTTTTCTCTAAAGCTTGAGTGGAAAGAGCTGCAGAACCTGCGGAAAGTCCGCTGAGCTGTTGTAGAGCTAGTTTAGTTCTGGGGAGCATCTCCTATGAGTTCATTTGAGGACAGCTAATCAAATTTGTTTTAAAACAAAAAAAAATGAACTATCATAATCTGGAGCCCTAAGAAGAGACTCACTTGGGGCCAGTTTTACAGGTTTCAGCCTCAGCCTGGGCTCCACGGTTGGCCTTCAGGCAGGCATGGCTAGGAGAGTTCAAGGTCAAGATCAAAGACCTGGTGTGTCAACCCTCAGGGACCATGGGACCTGCTTATTTACTCACCGGCAAGTGCTAACTAAGCACTTATCCAGTACCCCACTGGGATACTGAAATGCCTAAAACACATGAGTCGAGGCCAGCAGAGACTTGTTCTGCTTGTTCCAGGTAGTGGTTTTTTAAAAAAAATCTTACCTGGTGGCCAAGTTTTAAAAATCAGTAAATCTCAACAATAAAACAAATAACTCCTTGTTAACATGGACGAAAGACTGGCTGGGCACCGTGGCTCACTCCTGTAATCCCAACACTTTGGGAGGCCGAGGTGGGCAGATCACTTGAGGTCAGGAGTTCAAGACCAGCCTGGCCACAATGGTGAAACTCTGTCTCTACTAAAAATAGAAAAAAAATTAGCCTGGTGTGGTGACACACACCTGTAGTCCCAGCTATTTGGGAGGCTGAGGCAGGAGAACTGCTTGAACCCAGGAGGTGGAGGTTGCAGTGAAGAGAGATCACGCCACTGCACTCCAGCCTGGGTAACAGGAAATAAATAAATATAATGGACAAAAGACTTAAGTGGACATTTCAAGTCCAAAGATGATATACAAATGGCCAACAAGCACATGAAAAGATGCTCAACATCACTAATCATTAGGGAAATGCAAACCAAAACCATAATGAGATACCACCCCACTATCCCCTCACAACCACTAAAATAGCTACTATTGGGGGGAAAAAAACAAAAAACAAAAAACAAAACAAAACAAAAAAAAACAGAAAATAAAGTGCTGGCAAGGATGTGGAGAAACTGGAAATATTGTGCCCTGTTGGTGGGAATGTGAAATGGTGCAGCTGCTGTGGAAAACAGTATGGGTGATCCTCAGCTAAAAGAAAAAGAATTACTATTATGATCCAGCAATTCTGCTTCTGGATATACATTCAAAAAAAATTGAAAGCGGGGTCTGAAAGAGATACATGTATGCCCACATTCATAGCAGCAATGTTCACAATGGCAAAAGGGAGAAGCAACCCACGTGTCCATCACAGATGAATGGATAAAGACAATGTGATACAGTCCCCCCTTATCCAAGGTTTTATTTCCATGACGTCAGTTACCTGTGGTGTCAGTTACCCACAGTCAACCATAGTCCAAAAATAGGTGAGTACAGTACAATAAGATATTGTAAGAGAGACTACATTCATGTAACTTTCATTATACTATATTGTTATAATTGTTCTATTTTATTACTAGTATTATTGCTAATCTCTTTCTGTTCCTAATTCATAAATTAAACTTTATCATAGATCTGTACGCATAGGAAAAAACACAGTATCTACAGGCTCTGCAGTTTCAGGTATCCACTGGGGGTCTTGAAATGCATCCTCCAAGGATAAGGGGGACTACTGTATCTACAATGGAATATGATTCAGCCTTGAAAAGGTGGGAAATTCTGACACCTGCTACAAAGTGGATGAACCTGGGGGGCATTATGCTACGTAAAATAAACCAGTCACAAAAGTCAAATACCATATGATTCTACTTACATGAGGTACCTAGAATAGTCAAATTCATAGAAACAGAAAGTAAAATGGTGGTTGCCAGGGACTGGGGACCGGAAATGGGGAAGTGTTGTTTAATGGGTAGAGAGTTTCAGTTTTGCAAGGTGACAAAGTTCTGGTGATGGATGGTGGTAATGGTTGCACAACAGTGTGAATGTACTCAACAATACTGTACACTGAAAAATGATTAACATGGTAAGTTTTATACTTTTTTTCCAAAATAATAAAAATTTAAACCAGTCAAAATAAAATCAGGAGATTTTATATAAAAATCTAGAGATGCAGCAGGCACTCACTCATGGCAAGGATGGGCTGGGCTGAGGGGGGCCTCTCCCTTCATTCCATGACAGCTAAGTGCCCTCCAGTGTGGCCCAGGGCACTGGAGTTTGAGACCCCTGTCTGCTGTTCAGCCTGTATGGTGGAGATACAGCCATGGTCTGCCCTTCTCTGGGAGACAAGTGGTGACAAGCTACCTGAAATGCATGGAGCAGCAGCTAGGCCTCCCTGAAAACCTCCGAAGTGACAGCCACCATGAATCTTCAGCTGATGCATTGCACAAACACTGGTCTCTTGGCGAGAGGGCAGGATGGAATTACACCACTCACCAGAGGCCCATTAGGCCGAGTCTGGGGCTCCTAGCACCCAATACCAAGTAAGGATTTCAAAACCCATCCCTAGCTTCCTGCTGCTCCCAGCAGGAGGCTAGAGGTCCAGTCACAGGCAGCCAGCCCCAGGCATAACTGCTCCCTCCACATTCTGACCCATGCTCTCAATAGAGAGGCTGTTCAGTCAGCACGTCCCAGCAAAGGATCAGAGAGTGGGGAAAGGTTCCAATTCCTGGGGGCTCAAGAAGGCTGGACAGCAATTTCGTATAATTTATTTTATGTATGTATGTATGTATGTATTTATTGAGATGGAGTCTCACTCATCGCCCACGCTGGAGGGCAGTGGCATGATCTTGGCTCACTGCAACCTCCACCTCCCAGGTTCAAGCAATTCTCCTGCCTCAGCCTCCAGAGTAGCTGGGATTACAGGCACCCGCCACCACACCCAGCTAATTTTTGTATTTTTAGTAGAGACGAGGTTTCACCATGGTGGCCAAGAAGGTCTCGAACTGCTGGCCCCAAGTGATCCGCCCGCCTCAGCCTCCCAAAGTCCTGGGAGCCACCCCGCTGGGCCAGAACAGCCATTTTGGAACAAACTCTAGTAGTTTCCTTGGTGTCATCCTTCATTCCTTCCCTTCTCTCATATCCATATCCAAACCACCAAAACCAGAAGCCACCCTCAGACAAGCCTATCCTTGCCATGAGTGAGTGCCTGCTGGGTATCTAGATTGTTATGTAAAATCTCCTGAACTGGAACCTTTCCCCACTACTGGCACTTCCTTTAAAATATACCCAGAATCCAACCACTTCTTCACCATCCCCAGTGCCACCATTCAGATCCAAGCCATCATCCACTCTTGCCAGGTCCTGAAGCTAGAATGCTCCTGATAAGACGGAAATCAGATCACGGCACTTCTCTCAAAACCCTGCAAAGTAAAAGCCAACGTTCTCAAAAACGGCCTGTGAGCCCTCTACAGACCTCACTGCCAAACCTCATCCCGTCACTCAACCTGGTGCCTGCTGAGCCAGCCTTCACACCATCCTCTCTGCTCCTCCATCCTGCCCTTGACACCTGCAAGTCCCTCTTCCCCTGCTTCCAGAAAATGGCCTGCTTCCTCCCCTCCTCAGTGATTCCTTCAGTGAGGACTTTTCTGGCTGCCCTATCCAAACTTTTGTGCACACCTTTCTTGTCTTTTTCTCCTTAGCTCTTCTCTTTTTTGCGGGGAGCGGAGGCAGGGTCTTGCTTTGTCACCCAGGCTAGAGTGCAGTGGCACAATCATACCTCACTGCAGCCTTGACCTCCTGGGCTCAAGTGATCCTCCTGAGTAGCTAAGACTACAGACATGCACCATTGTGCCTGGCTTATTTTATTTTTTATTTTTGTAGAGACGGGGTCTCACTATATTGCCCAGGCTGGTCTGGAGTTCCCAGCCTCAAGCAATCCTCCCACCTCAGCCTCCCAAAGTGCTGGGATTACAGGTGTGAGCCACAGTGCCTGGCCTTCCTTAGGTCTTGTACCCATATATCACGCTAGTCAACGTCTATCTTGTTTACTGTCTGCCCCCTCCCACATCAGAATTCGAGCTCCTAAGGGTTTTGAAAGAGTCTCTGCTGGTTTCATTTCCAGCTCTATCCCCAGCACCCGGCATGGTGTCTGGCACAAAGTAGGAGTACACTACTTTTGTCAAAGACATAAATAAAGGTCAAGTTGAAGTCAACGTCATCTGTGGTCAGGGCTGCCCTGCCCTCATCTTCTGTTTCACTGAATGTGCTTCCTCCCCTCTCACTCATCTGGTATGCATTGCCACACAGGGGCCAGTGAGTTCTTACCAGCAGCCTGCACCAGATGTACACAGGTGGCATCTCTCACCAGCACTGGGCCCCATGCCCTGCAGAAGCTTACAACCTACAGTGTACTAATATTTGTAATCTGCTGGTATTTTTAACATGGGTTTACAGAGTATAAACCCCAGAGAAGGCCATAGACTCCAGCTTCCAGTAATCCAAGAGCAGTTTCCAGCACCTCATACCCTGAATGGAACCAGCCCAAGAGCCCTCAACTTCACACAGAAGATCTGGGAGCAGGCCTCAGCCATTCCAAAGAGGCTTTTCCTCAGTACCTACTAGGCCTAAACACAACCACCCAAATCAGCTCTGGCAGGGCAGCTAGGGCCTTATCTGACATGGCAGAAAGATCTGCACACTTAAGGGGCAAGAATTAAGAAATTTCTGGGTTAGGAGTGGAGTAAAGGAAGGTTAGATAAGTAATTCTCCCACCAGGCGGTTCACAGAACTGGCCCCCACTGCCCCAAGCTCTAACTTACCAGAAACATCACCAGCAGTCGCTAAGCCTATGGCGTTGCAAAATAGGAAAAGATGCGTGCAGGAATTACCAGGCAGCAAAGACACGGGGCTCTTTTAGCCCAAAAATATTCTTTCCTTGTCATCAAGGGGAATGCCAAGTATTCTGTCTCCAGTTGCGTTGCCAGGTAACAAGTTGGCAGAGTCGCAACTGTATATAGTCTGATGTCCAACTCAAAAACCAAGCAATTTCCCCATTCATAACCAACCCACATGGGGACTTCTAGAAGGACCCGCAACTGACTACTTTTTCTGCATCCAAATTCAAGACCCTTAAAAGGGGCTTTGTGTTCCAGTTTTGTGTTTTTTGTGTTGTTTTGTTTCTTTTTTTACCATCAAGGCAGAAAAGAAGGGAGAATTAAAGATTGTAGCTCACTTCCACCGTATTTTTGCTGAAGGTGGTGTGCTCTATGGGAATCTTAGGGGCCTGGGGCACTTGGAACCTGGGAGTTGCTGGACTGATCCCTGAGACAGATTCCCAGAGGTACAAAAGCAGACATGCCCCTTTCTCCTTGGGAGGGGAGGCAGGACTGGAGCCCAAGCCTCCCTACCCCCCAGCTCTAGTCAGCTGCTCCCACAATCCGGTTAACCATTACCTCCTCTGGCCAGGCCAGGGCCGGCGGGCCCCACCCCCTCTTCCTCACTCTCCTGGCTCACTGCAAGGGGCTCCTGGCCAGATTAGGATAGGGGTTTCCATGACAACAGGCATCAGACAGGGCCAAGGGACCTACATTGTTCCCTGCCTTTTGTAGCTGTGTTGGGTAGCCAGGGAGAGGGGACAGGCCGATGCCCACATGCCAGGCAAGGCAGCCTGCGTTGGTAACAGCCTGCTCGGGTTAAGTCTTGCTTATTACGACCCGACTACTGTCTTCTCTCCTAAGCAGGGAGCTAAGGGTACCCAGAAGCCGTGGGAACAATTCCGCAAAGTGACATTTTGCGCGGGCTGCCAGATCTCTGCGGCGAGTGAGCCAGGCAGGGAGGGCATGTGCCTGCCAAGGCAGGTCAAGTCAAGGAGAGGCCCCAGGATGGAGCCTCAAGTGCAGCGATGAAGGCGAAGGGGTGGGGGTGGGGGCGGCCAAACAAAAGGGGAAAATTAAAAAGGACGCTCCTCCAGCTGTGTGTAAAAGGCTCCAAAAATAGCTGACGTGGGCCTGGTATCAGCGTGCGCCTGGCTGAAAAGGAAGGGGAAGTGCATGCCTCCCGCCTCCCAGCCTTTGTCTGAGCAGGGGCCGCGCCACGACCCTCCCTCTTGCCAGGGGAGCGCGCGGGGTGCTCCAGCACCCAGCGGGTGCTAGTCTCGTTCCAGGGGCGCAGGGCGGGCAGGCCACCCTTCGGGTCCCAGACACTCTCAGGACCTCCTCCCGAAATACCTAGGGGCGCGCGGCA